ACCATCCATCCACCCACCCATCCATCCATCCATCCATCCATCCATCCATCCATCCATCCATCCATCCATCCATCCATCCATCCATCCATCCATCCATCCATCCATCCATCCATCCATCCATCCATCCATCCATCCATCCATCCATCCATCCATCCATCCATCCATCAGACTAAGTCGGTGAGCACGGCCTCATTGATTGGAGGAAACTGTTCCATTTTCCAAGTATAATGTTAAATTCATTTTACTGTGGTGGGAAGAAATGTCAGTAAACACAAGGTTCTGTACCATTGCATTCAAATAATGACTTGCTTTGTACCTCTGTTATAGGATTATAGTCCACTAAAAAATTGATACAAAGGGAAAAATATAAACCAAATGTGACCTTTCCTACTTATTTTAAACTGACAATAACCCTCTGAAAAAAGTCAGAAAAACAAACAACTCATGCAAACGAGGAGGATATAAGGTAGCATATCTTTTGGCCTAGACCTCCCATAAAATAAAAAAAGACAGATAATCCAGAGATGAATTAAGATCTCCTGACGTTATAAACACAACTTTAATACAACGCTCAATGAAGAACAGAAGCCAGATGAGTTCTAATGTGCTCTTTATACCTGGATTAAACACCGGAGGGCAAATCAAAGTGCACAAGTTAGAACTCATTTGGTTTCCCATACATCACCTCTTCCTGTCTACTGCTGACATGGATCACCAGAGAAATTCACCCAGATGATTTGAAACAAACAGGTATCTCTTCACGCTCCTGTGTTATAGCTGAACTTCTTGTTTTGCTTTAGTGTGCAGTGCTTTAGACAGCATCTTCCTCTACTCTTTTTCTAGTTGGCAAACAGCATAAACAACATGCGACTCCTCTTCTAGATGTCTTCACTGTAATGGTTTGTTTGAATACATGAGCTGTTCCACCACCAGTCTACACAGCTCTGTTAGCAGCTTAATGGTCTAAAAAAGGTATGGAATTAAACCACTTCAGTGTGCATGTGTGCGCACGCACTAACCACGAGCCATCCACTGCTTGCTACGTCCACATCAGTTGTAGAGCGAGGGATCCTGGTCTTGCTGTGCTCCGTGTAGACCTCAGAGTCAGACGTGTAACCACGGTCTAAAGACACTTCACTGGGATGATGATGGGACGACAGCTCACTGTCAGACTGGGCCCCTGCAGACACAAACAATAAAATGAAAAAAAAAAAAAGAACAAAATCTATTTCACTAGCAAGCATTTCACCTTATTTTTTCACGTCTGTTTTATATAACTAGATCTGATTATTGTACGTATCACAGAACTACACATTTTTACTAGAAAATCTCTTTTTTCCTGCTTGCTCTCGATGAGGACGGACACTTTCCCTCCTGCTCCTGCCTCCCTCACGCTTTCTCAACGCAACTGATAAAATTTTCTTGACAAGAAGACAGGGCGAAGTAGAGACCTCATGTCCTGAAGGGACACTTGCAGCTGGATACACCATGGATTCCTGGGGTCAGTGGAAGATGGCGTCTGTCCGTATTGTCCATTGAGGATGTAGAAGACGCGTACATAATTGGATTTATGAAAAACGGACTTCTGCTTTTTGGTGTTGGCAGGTATCTGGCAAATCTGCTGCCTTCATACATCTCCTCCTTCATGTCTCTGCATGAGTGCAGCTACAGCATGCACTCTCAGGACATTATTACCTGCAGTGTTCCCTCAGTGAGGACTGAACTTGACAAAAAAGTCTTCTCCTACTCTGCTCCTGTTTCCTGGAATATCTTGCAAAAAGACCTGAAGCTCTCGACCTTGACCTCTCTAAGTGGCTTTAAGAATCTGTTGGACTCCTGGCAGGGACCAATGCAGACATGTTCCTGTTTTTAGTTTTCTACATTTGCCTTAGAATCTAGCTGTTTTTTGTTACTTTTCTTTTTTAGCCATCCTATTTGTAAAAAATAAATAAAATCTGGATGACATTTTATAACTGTTTATTGTTGTCGCTGTTGTCCATTGTTGTCATCATTCTTTGTTGAAATCAGGTCTCTCTTGTAAATGAGTCCTCGAGGCTCAATGGGATTTACCCGTCTAAATAAAGGTTGAATGAATGAAAAAAAAAAATAGACAAATTCGGAAGACGGCGGCAGCGGTTCTGGCCATTGTGAGGCTGCCTGCCTTGTATGAAGGAATGTACTGAGCGGTGAGCTCAGACTCAGATGCTGCATAACGCTGGATGCAATTTCTGAGAATCGCAGGCCACTTGTGGCTCCCGGGACTCACTGGAGGGAAGGAATTGACCTTAGAGAAGCTACAAGCTCGGTCCAGTGGTATGACCACAAAATTTGTCCGTTTGGAGTCACCACTGAGACGTACCAGCAGAACTATGAAGGCAGACAGAAATCAAGCAGAGGCTGCCTGACCCAAAATAACTGTTTTATCTGAATCTGACTTCCCCACTTGGCCTTGAATTGGCCAACTATCTCAAACTTCTCCTGGTTGTTTATGTGAACGAGAATCCACCCCCCCCCCCAATCACTCCCCTCTCAATGACATCTGTGGATCTGTGTCAGAGTTGAGCCAGCAGATAAGAGACTGTGCCATCATTATCAGGACTATGGAACGTTCTGGTAGTGTCCACAAACACCTCCCTGCCCTCATCAGCCTCCCCATGCATAAATGTATTAAATGTATCATGATGTCATCAGCATGTTGAGGTTTCATGTGCTGAGGTCTTTTTTTTTCAACTTTCACACTGTGTCCTGTCTAGGACACAGTGAGGGATTTGATTTTTTTTGACACCTCCACTCTCCCTCGTGTTTCTTTTTCCTTATCTGAAAAAAGGCAGCGCCTCTCCAGGCGGGCGGCCTCACTCACCTCCGTCTCCCCATGTCTGTTTATGTTTCTCTCAGACGGACTGTACTGAACTGTAATTTTGTTGTGCTTCGGTGCAATGACAATAAAGCTGATTCAGATTTTTTTCCATTTGTTCATGAATCAGTGCCATTTACTTCCAATAAATTAGTTTATAAGTTGAGTCTAATTTATAGACACCAAGTGGCAAACCGATTAAACCAAATAAATACATGTAATAACTTCAAACATGCTCAGATTTTAAATTTAGATGAGACTGAGTGAGTCAACAGTATATTAATGATTTTAGATTCATGTTTTGAGAGGAAAGCGTGTAAAAACCTTAAACAGTATCATGCTGTAAATAACTGACTGCACATAAAACGGGTAAAAATTCAGAACCTTGCATCAAGTTTTCATTCCCAGTGTTTCCACTGGTAGAGGATTTGAAGTGAGTTACAGTTTTCTTTCATGCGACACCTCTGAGATCAAGACTTCCTTACTGCACTGAAGACAGCTGGTGTTAAATACCTGTGTCGTTGTCAGCAGTAGATGCAGCGAGCTGGAAAGAGGCAGGAGGTTTTACTCCTGCTCCAATGCACTCCAGCAGGGAGAAGAGCGTGTACCAGTCATCTGTACAGTGGATGTTGGCCGCATTGGTCTTCAGCAGCTCATGGAGGCCAAAGGCCACCTCCCTGCTGACTCGGGACAGCACGTGGGGTTTCATCATGAGGAGGAGGCGCAGGGAGAGAAGAATCTGTGAGTGTACAGAAAGAAAAATGAGTCGGACGAAACAATTCTACTGATATCCTGATGCATGCTCAATAATCCAGGTAGAAATTTTACTAAATCTACTGATACATTACAGGCTCACAGACGAAAGGTGAAACACCCACACAGAGTTTAATAAAGGACATGAAACTCCATGCGTCAGTATCAGATTAAATAGATCAAGTCGGCAGTACAGGCGTTGTGCTTTTCCAATGTCAGGAGGATGTAGCAACTCTGAGGGTCAAGGTACTAATGGTGAACAGGTGCAGAACACAGCTGTACAGGAGTTTAATCCTCTCATGTAGCGGGTCAGACCACAGCTGGAACCTGCCTTTAAGATCCATCAGATCAGGTCAGAGTTGATGTCCAAGCAGTTCCCACACTGTTTCAAGATCGAGCTACAACTCTAAATGTCACCATCGTTGCTGTGGTCTTACCGTCACCCAGCTCATGAGACATGGACCCTGTTGGAATGAATCTCCTGCGCTGCAACAGTTCAAGACTAGTTGGCAACTCAACAATGTAGAAAAATAGGTAAACAGGCAGTTTCATTAAATCCTGAGTGTAGCGTATAGAAAACTACTTCTAAACTAAGAATCTGAGACATCTGCAACTTTTACGAGAGAAAAACTGTTGCACAAACTTTTGGAACCTGCTCAAAATTTAAGCAACAAAACTGCAAACCTGCATGAACATCTAAAAACTTCCTGAGATGTTTTGGAGACTCCCTCACTAATCTTGTTCTCACCTAGTGTCCAGCAGCTGCAGGCCGCTGAGACACTACCTACAGCCTGACTCGTGTCATTGTTGAGGTAAGAGAAGACACAAGGTGACATTAATTATTCTATATCTATGTCCAGAAGGCGGATGCAGATGTCACAGTGGTGGTGTAATGGCTGCATACAATACTTCAAAACTCCCTTGGTGGGGTCTGACCTGACCAACTAGAACTTTCGTGATAAAGGTAAATGTGCACACCGGTTGCAGCATAAGTCCACATGATATCTGCACATCCAACATGGCAGCCAACGTGACTCCTGTTAAACTCCATTAAGGGCCGTCTGCTGTTTCTCATACTCGACCTCTGAGTCTGCCGACTTTCATTGTTTCGACTGTCGTACTCTCCAGCAACTGCCTGATAACACAAAGTCTCCACTTATGATCTACCACTTATAGCCTCTGGTGTTCGTTCTAGACCAGCATTCTTCAATCTGCTGCTCTGGGGCCACATGTGGCTTTTTAGACTCTCATTTGTGGCCCTTTGAAACTTTGATCAAAACTAACGTCATAATGTTTTTTATTTTTTTTTTTTTTATACCCACAACAGAAAATGTGAGTTTTAGCAGTTTTTTGTCATAAATTTTCTGTAAATTTGTGAAAGATACTACTAATACAAGGAGTGAAAAGTGTTGTTTACATTTAGCTACTTCATTTACCCAGTCTCCAGGCTTACAGTGCATCAATGTCTCAAAAAATAAAAATCAATAACTTGTCAGCAAAATGTCTAATTTTTCTGCATACTTCAAATTTATGTTTCATTACTTCAAAGTGGTATACTTAATTTTGAATCAGGAAAAAAAGACTTGCATAAGCCTGCAGAGACTCAGTATAAACAAATCATTTCTCTACTTTTGGTCTTTTCTTTTACCCTAAAAACATAAAAATATCAATAAATGTAAAAATTCATTACATATTTTTAGTTATACAAAGTCATCCCAACTGGCCAGAAAAGTCCTTCTTCAACAACCTCTAAGTGGCCCATGGGCCACCAGTTGTAAAGCAGGTTTTGTGGCTCCGGACACAGTGTATTTAGTGAGCGAGGTGGCAGAAATGGCTCTTTCGATCAAAAAGGTTGCAGACTCCTGTTCTAGACATACCAGCTCCTTGCACATCAAATCACTGGTCTGACACTGGTCTGCCTGTGGACCAAATTACACCATTTTGTGTTCATAGTAAAAATTTAAGGCTGTCCCAGTCTTTTTCTAGTACAAAACAAAGACGTGAGGCTTTGTGGTCTAACAAAGGACATTTGTTTTAAAGGCCTGGAGCCTCATTCTTTCTGTGCAAAACTCCTCCACCTGAGAGCTAATGTCTTCTCGACGCAGAAGGCGGATTGCGAGTCGAAGGAGCCCCACCACGGCCCTCTCCACCAGGAAGCAGCTTTCGTTAGAATGAACACAGAGGTGGTAGAGGTGGTCCCGCACCGTCTGCCAAACACAAGACACACGGTCCCTGGAAACACACAAAGACTCATCCAGTTAACACAGAGTGACATCATGAAAGACGTTTAAGAACGCATTTCACTGCTGCACATCCTCATCTCTACCTGTTCTCCAGAACGATACGCAGCAACATCTCTAAGCAGAAGGCAGCATCCTCTTCATCATACGTCTCTTCATCCGGTGTGACTGTTATCAGGGCCTAACAAATAAAATCAAGAGAATTTAGTCAAAAAAGTGACTGGTAAACCCTTTAAACAGAAACATTTACCAAAAACCAGTAAAGAAACAAAAATCTCCAACCTTCATCAGCTCCTGCAGAGACTCAAGCTGGAGGAATTTACTCTCTGTGATCAACTTCTCTGGGTCACATTGCTAAAGACAGAAACAGTAAAAACAACCAACAACTGGTTAAATGTTGAACTACAGTAGTCCCTCGTTTATCGCAGGGATCGTATCCTGAAGACCCGTGATAAGTGAAAAACCGCCAAGTAGGAATAGTAGTACAAGTAGTATTTTATTTTATTATTTATATGTATATATATATATATATATATATATATATATATATATATATATACACATAAATATATGAAGGCGTTTCAAACCCTTCCCACACTCTTGCAATATTCTAAACAATGTTTCTAAACGCTCTAAATGAGCACAGAATGTCATGGTTCAGCTCCCTGCCTCCCCTGATCTTTGCCACCTACAAGCGCTCTTGGCCACGCCCACTTCTCCTCTCTGCACAGCTGGTCAGCTGATCAGCTGCAGCAGGAAGTTTATCCTGCAGTGTGGGCTGCACAAAGGTGCAGCTGGTGCTAAATAATTTAAAATAATTCATTTTAAATAAAAATTCCATGCTGATCGTGCGGCTCATCCATCAACAGCCAATTGTGTGTCATGTCCACTCTTATTTTGAAAGTGCCTTCGCGATAAACGAACCGCGAAGTAGCGAGGGACTACTGTAAACGCAATTCACTTGTAGCTCAGACTGATACTGAGCTCCAAGTGAATGTGAAGAAGTTAAAAGTCATCCACAGCCCCGACTCGGAGCGTGACATCGAACACGTGTGCACAAAAAAAATTTCAAGGTTTGACCAAAATAGCTCCATCATTTCTCAGCATCATCTCAAGATGATGTTCATTTAAAACTAGCAGCAGCATTCTTTCAAGTAATGCTAGCTAGGCCTTTATTTCTAAAGGATTTTCTTCATTAAAATCCATGATTATAAGACACGCTCCAATAAACAAACCGCTGCTGACTTTTTTTTCATTCAACCTTTATTTATGCAGTTAGTGTCAGATTACAGGTGCAGGCCAGACTTCTTGTTGTTTGTGCGCTCACTACCTTTATGCAGAGGATGGCAGCTTGCTTGGCCTCCTGGTTCTCTGTGGATGGTCCTCTGAGACCGGACTGCTCGACTCCGCTCAGCGTCAGCCAGTTGACAAAACTCAGCACCGCTGACTCCCCACTTACAGAGCAGAGGGGGAAAGGTGACATTATTCATCTTGGTCAGAACTCCTGTAGGACTTGTTTTAAACAATTGTCTTCTTGGATCATTGTTAATGTGAAAAGAATGCGTGATGCTAAACACACTGGTTGGTAAATTCTTAGAAAACCATCCTGGAAACGTCACAGTACAGACGTACTCGTCTCTTTTGGAGACATTAAAAAGGCTGCTGGATGAGACTCACCGATTTGAAGGCGTCTCCTCCCTCTGAAGAGAAATTTTCCCGTTGGGCTCCACAAAGTCCTCCACCTGAGGGAACAAACGCAGCGTTGGATCTCTGAACAGTAGGTGGCAGCAGAGTGTGTAACATCTCTTCCCTCTTTGTGCGTTTTCACAAAGGAGACGGTGTCTGGACGCTGACAGAATGGAAAGAGGGCTTAGAGTTTACTAAGAAAGTGCTAACCTCCACCATGGCTTTGGGCAGGAGCTGGGCTCTGAACAGCTGCAGCATGGACTCCATGATGTTCTTCCAGCCCTCCCTAAGGATGTTGCCATGCCGATGGGCGAGGTCAAACATTGTCTTGGCTGCGGTCTGCGCCTTATTGTTGCTGCCAAACACCGAAGGAAGGTTTTCCACAGACTGTAGGGGGAAGAACAGAGTCATAATTCAGCTTTAGTTGCTGTACTTAAATCAGCTCTTAATGAAACTGTGGGTGAACGATAAAACTTTTGTTCACGCCACTGATTTACTCAAAATAATTTATAAAAGCACATAATTATCTTTATCGTTCCAGGTTTTACAGTCTGTACTTCATTATGTTAATGATTAGCTCTGATATCAAATAGTTTTATTCTTATCAAGCTGTTAGTCTACATTAAATATCAGCTTTTTAACACTTTCCTTTAAGTTCTAAACATAAAGACCCATTAAGTACAGTATTACAGTTTAACATGACTGGCTTGGTTAAACATTTGGGTTTAGTCTAAAGGCTTTTGCTGACGATCATCAGATGTTCTGTGAGTGAGGAGCAACGTGCAGCACCGCAGGGTGCTGTGCCTCTGACAGGGACTAACCTCGCTGCTCAACGTGGTGAACTTGCAGAGGGAGATGATCAAGTTGTCAAAAACGTCGCTGAAGCCATAATGAGCTGCGATCATTGCACATTTTCTGTAGGCACAGACGACCACACAGCTTAAAACATCTCAAACACCAAAACACAAAGCATGTCTGAGAAACTTGTCTCTGCGTCTTCAGTCTGAACGTCACAAAGGTCAATGTATTTACTGATCAAACAAAATGTCAACACTTAAGTTTAGAACAGTTCGGCCATTTTAAAATGTCTTTCGGTTTCAAATTTAGAAATGATTATCGTAGTATCTTATCTGTTGTAGATAGCTTTTTGAAGGAGAAGTTGAGTTTACACCCACAGGACTGACAAGCTAAAGACTAGTGTGAACACAGCCAAGAGAAAGTGCTGCATTAAAATGGCTCCAGTCCACTAAAGTTCATGTAAATTGAAAAGGTTTAAATTAATGCATGAACCACGATGACATTGAGCTGATTTAAGATGACAAAACAACATTTTGGTCTTTCAGACTAGCTGACACCAGGTCATCAGTCCAGTCAAACTTAAACTCTGTTTTTACAAGTTCAGATTCAATGGCTACAATAAGATAATTTATGTAAAACTTTCAGACACAAACCCACATTAATATGACCAAACTATCCCTTTAAGCTCCAACAGAACTGACAAACAATTAAAGCTTATAGGTTATACGTCCGTCGACTAACTAACATTCAGCATTCTATAGTAACATGGACAAGCTACGACCTTGTGTAACATTTAATCTTGATTTATGACCTTCACGTTGAAGCTGGGGTGATGAAAAGTGTGTGAACTCTCCATCTGGAGATGATGCGTGTGTGTCTGAAGTTTCAATAAATTATCTTGAGCAGATCAGAAGTTATAGTTCCAAGAGAAAGTTTACATAGGGATGGAGACTAAACCAGAATATGTCTGTCTGGTGACATCATCAAGGTCATGACTCAAGATTTATGAGAATTGTCTTCACTTCAGTCAGAGCCTCTATGCTTAAAAAAAGAAAGAAATGAACTAAATGCATCCTAACAAGAGTTCCAGTAATCAAAACGCACAACGACAACTTTCTGTACACATTTCACCGACACTGAGCTGCTTTACATGTAAAAGATTCACCAATCAGGATGTTTGGTTCCATAATAAGAGTAGTTTGGTCTGACATTAACATTGTTTTATACACTTGGATTGTCTTTACACGCTCTTTTCTTTATGGTCGCGGGAGCCGGTGCCTTTTTCCAGAGGTCACTAAGAGAGGTGGGTACACCCTGGACTGGTCGCACGTCCATCATCGGGTGCTTATAAAACCTTTCATCCAGATGTGCCTGCTCTAGCAGTGGGAGCAACAATCTATTTTTAGAGGTTTCAAATTGATTTTAACATTAATGTTCACTGTGAGAAACTTGTTGCAGTAAAGCTAAATGCTTTCATGCCTTTTCACAGAACCCTGAAAAATACCACTGTAAATGATCACAATAATCATAACATGAACGTCTTTAGTCGTAACTTTAAAAATGTTGTTTTGTTTACAAATTTCTAGTGTTAAGCACAATGCTAATTGTGTTAGCTTTCCTATGGTGTTAGCATCTATAATAATTAGGCATGAAAATATATGAATCTGTGGGTAAAATCAGCCTGTTCAAAATAACCTAAATTAATAACCCTTTTATAGATCACAAAGTCATAATTAAACAAAATCCTGACGTGTCTAAAGACCCCCACCCCCCTTCATTCCAGCGTGGCGTCAGCTGACGGTTCTGAAGTACCTGAAGCCGGTGATGGACTTCTGGATGATGCTATCGTCAAGGCTCTTGTCGAACACGTAGGACAGAGCAGCGATGGTGGGGCCCCAAGTCATGGTGAACAAGTCGTGGTCGTAGCTGCCAGGTGGGAGGTAGAGGAAAAGCCCCTCAGGTGTGGCGCCGCGGTGCAGCAGCACGCTCCAAACATAGTTCTCCTTAACTAACCCCGTCTGCTCGTCTGGCATCACAATCTCCTCATTCCTGCACAGACAAGAACATCCAGCTGATAATCTTTCATTAAAGATGCTGAAGATGTCCAGTGGTCAAATGGTTTGATGAGATGAGGTTAATAATTATTAAGTAATAATTCACCAATAAAGCATCAACTCTAACAGTATGGTTATAGCTCCACTGTTGTATTCAGAGTGGGATCTGAACAAACTAAAGGCTCATGTTGGACCACTGTGGACCACTAACAATTTAAACTGGAATATTAGGAGTGAACCTGGACTCTGAGGCCCTCTGCACCGACTCTGTGTAACTTGACCCAGAAAATGCATTCAAATTAGCAATACAGTAGTCCCTTGCCACTTCAAGATTTGTTGTTCGTGGACTTGCTCTATCGTGGTTTTTCAAAATAAGAGTGGACATGACACACAATTGGCTGACTGATGGATGAGCTGCATGATCTGCATGGAATTTTTATTTAAAATAAATTTTAAATTATTTAGCACCTGCTGCACATTTGTGCAGCCCATACTGCGGGAGAAGCTTCCTGCTGCAGCTCCTCCTCCCTCCTCTTTTGTGATCTCCGTTCTGCTGTGGAGAAGTGGGCGTGGCCAAGAGCGCAGAGAGCAGCCGTGGCAGAGAGGAGGCAGGGAACTGAAATCATGACATTCTGTGCTCCTTTAGAGCGTTTGGAGTTTAGAAACATTGTTTACAATATTGCAAGAGTGTGGGAAAGGAAGGGTTTAAAATGCCTTAATATATATAAATGTATATAATACTAAAATAAACTACTACTTACTACTTTTACTACTATCCCTACTTCGTGGTTTTTCACTTATTGCGGGGCTTCAGGGTACAGATCCCCTGCCATAAACGAGGGACTACCGTCTTCATATTCATAACCACAAAAGAAAAGGATATTTTAAGCAGTTATCTTGTCTATTTTGTTGTAAGTATGTGAGTATTGAGACAAATCTTTTAGAAGCTAAACATTTTGAACAGTTTGTAGTTTGTTAGTCACTGCAGCCATACAGTGTGATCACGCTCGGAAGATGTTTAATATTTTAACACATTTGAGGAAAGTTGCTAAAGAAAACCGTGCAGTTTGAACATAAACAACGTTGTTTATGATAAGTCACTGAAATAAGAGCTTCTGTATATGTGTGGCAAATATCGCCTTGCTTTAAAGATGTTTAGTAATTGAAATAAAAGAAAGCTTTCTGTTTTTAATTAAATAAATGTATTAGATCACAATAAATTTAGGGTGGCAGTAGCTGAAAACTGATCCTGAGTTTGGTTCAGTCAGTTTCAGACTTGGCTCTTGACTGTAAAGCTGCAGGCATTAGATGACAGAAAACATTCATTTAGTAAAGATTGCTCTTTAGTTTGAAAGCAGCGTCAGCTTGTCTCGTTCTGCGATGCAGCTTACTTGATAGCGTTGTAGATGTCCTCCAGCATGTCCTGGTCGAAGTCTTTGTTTCCGTTCACACCCTTCAGGTTTTTCTTGAATTGCTGTTTGCACAAACAAAACCATCGGCTAATAAAGACACACAGTTTACTGACACCTCAGACGAAAGTCACATCTTTACCATCGGTCAGATTCTTCTAAGCCAAGAAGCTTATCAGACACACCGAATCATCTGGAGTTTAGTGCTTTGTTAACTGAGCATCAAACCACCGGGTTGAACCACACTTCTTGTGTGTCACTTTAGCTGCATCATTAGGAAAACAGGGATTAGAGCCAAGAAGCTCCTGTAAATAAACAGAACCACACGGTGATGACTGATGGCCTCAAGGCTCGGCTTTATCCTATGCCTCTGCTTGGCAGGGTTTGACCCACGCACAGGCATAAAGGGGGTCGGGGGGGGGGGGGTGCTCTGCAGGGACACACAGAGAAATAAACACTGGCAGACAGAAGCAGGGCGAGCGGGACGCTGCTGAGGATCAAGCCTTTTATTTGTAATGCTCGCTCAAATCCAGAGGAGGTGTGTGTGTGTGTGTGTGTGTGTGTGTGTGTGGGGGGGGGGGGGGTGTTGGCAGAACGAACACACATCATCACTCATTACCAGAGCAGCTGCTGGCACCAGCGTGCTGCGTTTTATGGACAAAATTAACTTCACACCACTGACCTTACCTTTACCTCGCCTGAAACATGTCGTGTCATTGGAGGAAACGGGATCTGATTTACACGCCGTGATGCTGGACATAGTTCTCTAAAATAACTCTGCTGCCAACAGATGCTGCGCATTGCAAGCTGCTAAGAGAGTGAAGTGCCAGGCGCCACATTTACTGCCCCCCCATCCACTCTCCGATCTATTGTGTGGGGGCGCCTCTGTTTGTTGTCTGAGTCCGGAGGTCAACGGGCCTACTGCGTTTGAAACATGCGGCACCAGCTGTATGACAAGGAATCACTCCCCCCCCCCCCCCCCCCCCCCCCCCGACGGACCCTGCAAAATACCCGCGCATAAAAAAAGCCGAGACGAGCAGGAAGAGGGAGCTGGCTGCTCTTATTGGCAGTGAGAGTAGCCCACCCACAGACGGTTCGCGAGGTCCCCAAGAGACGGTGTTTAGTCTTCAGCTGCTGTCAATCAAAGACAGACAAACAGACAGCAGAAAGAGCAAGAGGCAGAAAGTAGCTCCCCCTCCTGTTTAAGATGAGCTCACCTCTAAGATGGACCACCACTGGCTACAGCTGTTGGCTCGAAGCTGCCAGGCTGCACCAGTGCAAAGGCTAGAACGCTCGGAGGAATTTCACACCTTCACACACAAATGGTGGCATATCTCAGTGAGACAGGAAATAGATATGAAGACAGGGCAGCTTGTTCCACTCGGGCTCTGAACTAACATTTGGTACACGCCGTTTTGTTTTTTCAAACATGATGACACGTTTTATTTCTGACGTGGTTGTCAGTGTTTAAAACTAAAGCTCCATTATTACTATTCAGCTGTTATTCCTTTGTTTCCATCATAATGTTAAAGTCACATCCCGTCCTGCAGCACTGGGTGAACATGTATAAAAATATGTCCAAATGTGCAGCTCATATGGGAACATTTAGCTATGAATTTTGGCAGAGGTACATTATACCATGCAGATGACATTTGCCAAAATACTGCAAACAATTTTTACAAAGAGTAGACTGAGATTTAAAAATGTTCTCTCAAATTTCTACCTACAGTGTTAGACTGATTGGTAACTCTGTCTCTAGGTGAGAGAGTGAATGGTTGTTTGTCTCGTTTGTCTCTATGTGTCCCTGTGATGGACTGGAAACCTGTCCAGGTGTCCCCCGCCTCTCGCACAGTGATAACTGGATATAGGCACCAGTGACCCCCATGACCCGAAAAGGAAGAAGTAGGTAAAAACAGGTCTCTCTTACAAATGAGTCCTCGTGACAGAGAGAGAGAGAGAGACAGACTTGGGGGTTCAAATCCACCAGCAGTCACATGCCGAAGCGTCCCTGGGCAAGACACTGAACCCTCATTGTCTCTGACGTGTGTCCCATTAGTGTATGAATGTGATAAAGCTCTGATTATTCTTTGTATAGATCTAGTAAAGTGCTGTATGAATGGGTAAATGAGGACACAGATTGTTGTAAAGAGCTTTGAGTGTCTTGATAAGATAAAAGTACAGTCCATTTACCATTTACTATAGACAGACTGACAGACACTTTAAATATTATGTTTTTAGAAGAAAACTCCTTAATGTTAGAAGTTTGGGTGGCAGCTGTTTTGGCACTCTTCAAGATTTCTTGAGAATTTTCTATTTCTAATTGTTGCTCTAACTAGCATTTATGTTTTTACCAAGACTTCAACTAAACACAAATGTAAAATGGATTTTGTGGATGACAACAAAGTCCATGCTCAATAATCCAGGTATACAATCCAAAATTTTTCAGTCAGGTCATCTGGACAGTTTCTTTTTTTTTGTGCTGAAACGTTTCGCCTTCGATCCGGAAGGCTTCATCAGTCAAGGAAACACACAACACAACTGAGCACAAAACTTAGCACCAACAAAACTGGTTTGTTCCACTTTGGAGTAAGCTGTTGGGGGAAGAATCAGTTTTGTGTTATGTGTTTCCTTGACTGTTCTGGATTGAAGGCGAAACATTTCAGCATAAAAAAAGAAACTGTCCAGATGACCTGACTGAAAAATGTTGGATTTTGTGGATGCTTTTTACAGCAGCAGTTATTTATCACCAACATTTCTCCTGTAATCTCCACTAGCTGTCCAGTTTCTTTCACTGGGAGAGTTTCTGCACTGCAGTGGGTGACATGAGCACACCACCCGAATGACTCTGATCATCCCTACAAAAAGGTGTGGAGGTCATTTTCCACCATCATTGTTACTTTCTCTCATCTAAATATAGCCAGGCAACAATTCCTCTGCTTACAGGCTTGATCTTCTTATATCAACGTTTCTTTTTCCAACGAGTAAAGCAAAAAGTGAGAAGTTCTACTAGGATTAGTTTATGTGAGAATGTGACATTTTGTAGTTTAATATGGCCAACACAGATCTACTATGGAAAAGAACTCTATGAATTAACATCAAAACTGAAACTCTTATTAAGAGTAAATGTGCCTGTGTGCGTGTCTTTGTAAGGCCCATTTTCCCAACATATACAAAACTACACTGTGAGGACCAACTGCTTCTTATGAGGTCCAAAGCCCAGGCCTCATAAGAAGAAGTGCCGTTGGTGGGTTAGGTTTAGAGTAAGGGTCAGGGTTAGGCTCTAAAAATGAATGAAAAATGAATGGAAGTCAACGCACAGTCCCTGTAAAGATAGAAAGACAAACTTGTGTATGTGTCACTTACTTCCAGAGTCATGGGGATGTTCTGCTTTCGGACATTGTGGTTGTGCTGGTCAGTGTTCAACATTATGACGGCGTAGGCCAAAGCAAAGCCTGCATCGTTGGTCATGAAAGGAGAGCCGTTCACCTTCTGTACACACACAAGAACAGCATTACATGACCCCAGGGAACAAACCTTCACATTTCAATAGTTATATTTGTCAGAATGAGGCCATTTTTAACATCTAACCCAATCATCTCTCTTTATATTTTATATAAAACACAACATTCAGAATTGTATTAGTAAACTAGAGCTGTCATTTCTTACCCAGGCCCGAAGCCCGGACCGTAACAATGAGCTGGATGGGTGGGCCGGGTCGGGCTTTTGATTACGTCAGCCGACACGTGCAGCTGGTGATCCAATTATATGGCAACATAGCTTACCATACTATCCAATTATATGGTAACATGAATTGCCATATCCTCACCAGCTGCATGCGGCCATTTCACCACGAACTGACCGGCCTTGAAAGATGTAAAATAAAGTTCAGTTAAGCTTCAGATGGGACTACACTGCCAGGAAGAGATCCATCGTCCAAATGGACGTTCATTCAGCCGTTGTACTCAGTGGATGTAGACGACCCAAACAGGTGAGATCCCAAAGCAGACATGTCAGAGCAGGGTCCGTGTCTGAATAATGCAGAATGCAGGCAGAAGCAAATATTGAACGCACTGACGGCCATGAAAAGACAAACACCCCCTCAGCTCCGATCTTCTGCCCCTTTTATTCAGCTGTGCGTCTGCTGACCATTAATAACAATATGTAAAGCTTAATTAAAAATATCGGGGAGGGGGGGTGGTGTTTGGAACTTTAATTACTGTTAATTCGTCGGGTCAGGTGGGATTTGGTTTGAATACACATTTTCAGATTTCTAAAATGTATTTAGATATGAAAAGAAGTTAAAACTAGGAAAAATGAATTGACAACATCAATATCACATTCTGTCATTCTGATGCCCACAAGGCTCTCCATGTACAGGTAGAGCCAAACAGATTTCCAGTGCAGTTTATAGGAATCTTTGTGATATTGATTTTGAGCAATCTGAAGGCACAATCTTGATAAATTGTGGATATATTGTTAACAGCACTACTAAAAATGAATTCCACATTATAAAGTCTGTAAAACATCCTGATGTCAAACTACAAAGGAGTTTTCATGCTTTTTACATAAGAACAGCTAACCTTGTCGCTCCGCTGACATCACACTCGCTCCAGAGTGGAAAACTCATTTAAAGTGTCACTGTCTAAAATTAATCACCCGTTCTTTCAATGCTACTATTTGTGTGTATGTCGTCGGCTATGAAAAGAACATTACTAGGAATAGTTTCCAGTGCAAATGACTCCTCTTGCTATTTTGAGAGGTCAAATGTTCTCCTCAGTGCAGTTTGCCCTTTGCCCATCATTGCGGGTCTCTGTGGGTCCATGTTAATATTTATGTCATCCAGCTACAATCATCTGAAGTTAATCATGACGATGACAGTGTCTGATCTGTCACACTCACAGAAAACTGATTCATTTGATGATGGAGAAGAAGGCAGGGTTTGCACAATGTGTTAGCAACCAAAATAACCGATAAGTAGGGGTGTTACAAAACAGTGGGGGGCAAGAGTACTTGGCCCCTTTTTTATTCCTTTACCTTACAACCTGGAGTTTAAATGGACTCTCAACATGGTTAAAAGTACTGGCCTCACACAAAATACTCTATTCAAGAAACTAAACAGAGATCTTAATTTAAAAACTGAAAAGTGCTGTGTGCATATGTATTCAGTCTGAAATCTCTGAAAGACAGGTTTCCTTAATGAATTCCTCTTTATTTTGCTCTATCCATCTTCTCTTCAAAACTGAGCCATGTCCCTGTCCCTGCTGATGACTTACATTCCCACAGCATGATGTACTGACAACACTATTGCAGAAAACCAGTGGGTCCACGATGGCTAAAATAATTAATTTACTCTCATCTGACCACTGCACCGTCTTCCAAAATTAGAAAAGAAATGTTGAACTGTGTTTAAGCAAAGGCTTTTTCTCGACCACTCCTCCATGAAGTCCAGTTCTGTGCAGCTTACAGAGGTGAATGTTTAGCCGATTGATTAAAAAAAAGTTCAAGCCAAAAACGAAAACATCTTTAAACAGAGGAGGAGGTGTCAGATCTCAACTTTCTCAAACTTATAATGCAGATTTAAGCCTCATACACAGTCATTTTCACGCCTATCAAGAATTTCATCCATGTGACCAGAGTGGCTCCGCTGTGAGGCAGTCTAACAAAGATCCTAACAAACCCCTTTTGTGAGTACCGATAGGGCAATCTGCATATATATCAGGGCTGGGCAATATCTCGATAGTTTAAAAATATTGAGATGATTTAATTTGCGATATAAGATGAGACTATATTGATATAAATGATATAGTGTTATTCTTGAAAATCCACCTGCTGTCTTCTTTCTCCCACGCAGCTCCCTCCCTGAATACAAACCCTCAGCATGCGCACCTCCAGGAGGTGGGCAGGAAACGTTTAGCACAAGCACCGTAAACACGGGAGATATGAAGATCAGCTGAGCTGATGCGCAAAAAGAAAAACAATGGCTGTTATTTGGAGATGGTTTGGATTTAAATTGTCAGATGAGCAACAGAAAAATGTTTCTGTAGACAATGCTGAAACCAAGTCCTAAAAACGGTTGGAACTACAAATCTTTTTCACCATTTAAAACAGCATAAGTTATAAGCTGCAGCTCCGACAGATTTCAGCCTCCTTCCCTGAAACAAAATATGGGTCAAAACTAGGGGTTGAACGAGTATATAATTTTAAAACTCGACAATAACATAATAAAACCCGAGTAGAACTCGAGTATTTGATGACATCATAGATCTCAAGATACAAAAGTAAATAAATAAATAAAACCGCAAAAAAAGGTAATTATTTACAACAACAAAAAAGACCAACAAAACATTGGGAGCATATATTATGCTCCTACCATTTATCATACTGCAAATAAGTCACAGGAAAAACTAAACTATTTATTATTATTATTAAACTGCAAACGTGAAGAAACAGCACGTCAAAAACGAAACTTAACCGAAACTGGTTCTGGTTCGGTGGATTGGAACCGGTGTTAAGCCATACTCTGTGACCTGCAACAGTGCAACACCGCCCCCTACGGTCATACGGTGGTCACATAATATGAAGTCACTACGAATACTCAATGTTAAATTTTTAACCTCGATAGATGCCCAAGCAATCGATGTGTAGATTACTCGAGTACTCTGTTAATGCCCTAGTCAAAACTTGTTTAGCCGTTCTGTGCCTTCTGAGAGGAACAGTGAGAGCGCAACATTAAAAAAGCAGCAGCTTATATCGCTAAAAACATGGTCCTTAGTGGCTAACAAGATGGACTCGATTACTGCAACTCGCTCCCGTTTGGTATCAGTCAGACCTCCATTGATAGACTACAACTTGTCCAGAATGCTGCAGCCCAATTTTTAACCAGTACAGGCAAAAGAGAGCACATTACCCCAGTTTTGGCCTCACTGCACTGGCTACCGGTTCACCTTCGAATCCAGTTCAAAATCCTTCTGGATGTTTTTAAATCACTGAACAGTTCTGCCACCTCCTATCTCACTGATCTGCTGCAGCCGTATGTCCCACTGCATTCTCTGAGGTCTGCAGACCAGTTGCTTCTCTCAGTTCCAGTAACCCATCTTAAGCGCAGAGGTGACAGGGCCTTCTCTGTTGCAGGCCCAAGACTGTGGAATGAGTTACCTCTGCTTGTCAGGCAGGGCCCCTCCCTCTCGGTTTTCAAATCCCACTTAAAAACCCACTACTTTCCTGGCTTTCAACACTGTATGATCTGTGCTGAACCTGTATGCATCACACTGTGTTGGTCATTATGTTATTATCTGCTATTATTTTGTTTCTATATTTTGATTTTACGTTATGTTTTGTGTTGCTGTGTGCTTTGCCTGTTTGTTTCCGTTTGTACAGCACTTTGGTTGGCCTGTTGCTGTTTAAAGTGCTTTATAAATACAATGGCATGGTATGGTATAGATAACGCTTTAGCCGTCCTGTTCCACAGTTGAGACTGGGACCGCGTCTTTAGTGATATGATAAGATGCTGCTTTATTAATGTTGCGCCACCTCTCTCTGTTTCTCTCATAAGGCACAGCACAGCTAAATGAGTTTTGACCCATAGTTTGTTTCAGGGAAGGAGGCTGAAGTCTGTCGGAGCTGCAGCTGCAGTTCACACATGCTTACTAACGTCGTGAAGCCAGCGCAGCTGAAGAGGACTATTATTTAATATATGTAAATAAAGGTATAAAAAATAAACTATTTAAGTAAATAGTTTATTATTTTATTATTATTTTATTTATTATTATTTATTTAACTATTTAAGTAAATATTTTATTTTTAGCCATTTATTTTGTACAGTTACAGCTACTATATGTGCCTGTGTGACAATTGTGACAAAGCTTTGACTCAAATATATTTTTATAACTTTATGGAAAGAAAAAAATATTGACCTATATATCGTATACGGCCATTTATCTTAAAATATCAAGATATTAATTTTGGTCCATATCGCCCAGCCCTATCTAGATTAGCTCCGATTCATAACGCAAACCCCACTCTCTTTTCTTTGAATTGAGAAAGCTCCTTGGATGAGAAGTGAAACATCTTCTGTTACAAATAAAATCCAGCTGTTTTTGTCTTGAACTTTTTCGAATTTACCATGTCCTGGATGACTGAGAATCTTCACCAGCGTTTAGCTGATTAATGCCCTCTTTTTTGAGTCCAGGAGTTTTAGTGAACGACTCTCTCTCACTTGGTATGCTTTGGTACCATAATCTTTCTATTCTTTATGGAAAGAATATATCTATATATAGAACATATATAGAATATATTTAGAATATGTCTACATATAAAATATATATAGAATAAATATCTACATATAGAATATATATAGAATATATCTACATATAGAATATATATAGAATATATCTATATATAGAACATATATAGAATATATATAGAATATGTCTACATATAAAATATATATAGAATATATCTACATATAGAATATATATAGAATATATCTACATATAGAATATATATAGAATATATCTATATATAGAATATATATAGAATATATCTATATATAGAACATATATAGAATATATATAGAATATGTCTACATATAAAATACATATAGAATATATCTACATATAGAATATATATAGAATATATCTACATATAGTATATAGAATATATATAGAATATATCTACATATAGAATATATCTACATATAAAGTATATATAGAATATATCTATATCTTTCGAGGTTTGGTATACTTATTATAAAAGCCTCAACTGTAGCAAATATCACATGTCTGAAATATTGTGGTGGCCATGTCATCAAGTGCAGTCTGTGCATTGTTCAGGAGAAAAGGAAAAGTGTCTTACATGCCAATTGTCAGTGAAAGTTTCCAAGAGTCTCTGAATAACAGGAGCCTCTCCAGGGAGCCTAAAAGCCTCCAGGTAGAGCCGTAGAGCCTCATCTATTCGAAGGCCCTGAAAAGTGAACGTGCTGCAAAAGAGATTCACTTTAGACTGAATAACAATAAATGAGTAATACATCTGGAGGATGAACTGGAAGTCCACCGTACTTCACAAAGCTGTCCAGGAGGTCCATGTTCTTGCGATCGCTGATGTACTCGCCAATCATTTTCTTGTCCAAACGAGGGTTTTCTCTGAGCCACTGAGCCACTTGGTTGTTGTCCATGGGGTCACTGAGAAGACCCTTTTCCTGCAGGAACTGGATTCCCTTCTTGGGCTTTTGGTTAAACTGCTCTGTGCCTGTGATCAGCAGCTGAACACAAAACACACAAGCATAGAAAAAAGTTGGAAAAGTAAAGTGATAAAAGTTTTGTAACAGGATACTGAGAATAAGTCGCACTGACCTTTTTCTTTGTTCTAATTTCCATCAGCTCTTGAGAATCAGGTAAACACGAGGAGAACCGATGAGGCTTTTTTGGAGTTTTCTTATCTGCTGAAGGAAATCATAAAAATTTAATCAGCTTCTGATTACAGATTCTACAGAATATTCTGTAGGACTTTCAAGACAAAACATTAAGAAGCCTCACCAGCGTCACTGTCTCCTTGATCCTGCCGACCCAGCTTCATCCTCTCAGCCATCAGGTGTCCACTGGTTGGTGGGAACATTGGTGCACTCACAGCTTGTGCAGAACTTGTAGTGTTGTTAATTCTATTACCATCTAAGGACAAACAGAAAACATTTTTGTATCGTGCATGTTATTATTATTATTTTTTTTGTCTTGCAGATATTCAAGTACAATAATGTACAGGTCCTTCCCAAAAAATTAGCATATTGTGATAAAGGTCATTATTTTCCATAATGTAATGATAAAAATGAAACTTTCATATATTTCAGATTCATTGCACACCAACTGAAATATTTCAGGTCTTTAATTGTTTTAATACTGATGATTATGGCATACAGCTCATGAAAACCCAAAATGCCTGTCCCAAAAAATTAGCATATCATGAAAAGGTTCTCTAAACAAGCTATTAACCTAACCATCTGAACCAACGATGTAACTATAAACACCTGCAAAAGATTCCTGAGGCTTTTAAAAACTCCCAGCCTTGTTCATTACTCAAAACCACAATCATGGGTAAGACTGCCGACCTGACTGCTGTCCAGAAGGCCATCATTGACACCCTCAAGCAAGAGGGTAAGACACAGAAAGAAATTGCTGAACGAATAGGCTGTTCCCAGAGTGCTGTATCAAGGCACCTCAGTGGGAAGTCTGTGGGAAGGGAAAAGTGTGGCAGAAAACGCTGCACAACGAGAAGAGGTGACCGGACCCTGAGGAGGATTGTGGAGAAGGGCCGATTCCAGACCTTGGGGGACCTGCGGAAGCAGTGGACTGAGTCTGGAGTAGAAACATCCAGAGCCACCGTGCACAGGCGTGTGCAGGAAATGGGCTACAGGTGCCACATTCCCCAGGTCAAGCCACTTTTGAACCAGAAACAGCGGCAGAAGAGCCTGACCTGGGCTACAGAGAAGCAGCACTGGACTGTTGCTCAGTGGTCCAAAGTACTCTTTTTGGATGAAAGCAAATTTTGCATGTCATTCGGAAATCAAGGTGCCAGAGTCTGGAGGAAGACTGGGGAGAAGGAAATGCCAAAATGCCAGAAGTCCAGTGTGAAGCACCCACAGTCAGTGATGGTCTGGGGTGCCATGTCAGCTGCTGGTGTTGGTCCACTGTGTTTTATCAAGGGCAGGGTCAATGCAGCTAGCTATCAGGAGATTTTGGAGCACTTCATGCTTCCATCTGCTGAAAAGCTTTATGGAGATGAAGATTTCATTTTTCAGCACGACCTGGCACCTGCTCACAGTGCCAAAACCACTGGTAAATGGTTTACTGACCATGGTATTACTGTGCTCAATTGGCCTGCCAACTCTCCTGACCTGAACCCCATAGAGAACCTGTGGGATATTGTGAAGAGAAAGTTGAGAGACGCAAGACCCAACACTCTGGATGAGCTTAAGGCTGCTATCGAAGCATCCTGGGCCTCCATAACACCTCAGCAGTGCCACAGGCTGATTGCCTCCATGCCACGCCGCATTGAAGCAGTCATTCATGCAAAAGGATTCCCGACCAAGTATTGAGTGCATAACTGAACATGATTATTTGAAGGTTGGCGTTTTTTGTATTAAAAACACTTGTCTTTCATTGGTGGGATGAAATATGCTAATTTTTTGGGACAGGCATTTTGGGTTTTCATGAGCTGTATGCCATAATCATCAGTATTAAAACAATTAAAGACCTGAAATATTTCAGTTGGTGTGCAATGAATCTGAAATATATGAAAGATTCATTTTTATCATTACATTATGGAAAATAATGACCTTTATCACAATATGCTAATTTTTTGAGAAGGACCTGTACAGTAGTCCCTTGTTACTTCATGGTTCGACTTTCATGGACTTGCTCTTTTGCGGTTTTACAATTGTCAACTTTAATATTACTCACGGATTTGGGACAGCACGGGATAAAAGTTAACAAAAAAAAAACATTACTACAACTAACTTTAATTGTTAGGAGAACAATGCTGTTCGAAAGTGCCTTTTTTTAATGTATTGAACATTTTTTATATAAAACAGTACCTTAAAATGTTCTAAACATCTTTAAGTCATAATTTAATTTTGCGCATACTAATGAGATTAATCGCAATTAAAACTTTTAATCTTTGCCCAGAACTAATATAAATACTAAAATAAATATAGCATTCCTACTTCGCAGTTTTTCATCTATCGTGGTGGTGTGTGGAACGTAAACCCCATGATCATTGAGGGACTACTGCATTGCATTTATTTAGTATGATGCATACCAGTTGTAGAGTCCGGTCCATTTGTGGAGACAGTTTCGCCATCTGCCAGCAGTGTGTCTGACTGGTCCTGCTGAGATGTGTTGTTCAGCACTTTGGCCTGACAGTGAGCTTCAATGCTGTCGATGACAGTGAGCAGGGCCTCCAGTGACAGCAGGTGAGTGGTGTACAGCTGCCCCGACACCGGGAATGAATTCTGTTAAACAAGAAGAAAAAACGTAAATTAGCAGTTGTTTCAACAGAGAGAATGCTTCTTTAAATAAAAAATGCAATAGACCAGTGACTGTTTAGACTCTCTTCACTTTTTAATCAGAATAAATTTATGTAGTTTCATGTGTCAGTTCTTCATGTGTCAGTTCTTCATGTGTCATGTCCAGTGAAAACATTTAGTTATTGCTAATTATCAAGACATGAAGCTGAGCTGAAGGTTTAAGTACTGGTATATGTCAGTGGTGAAGGGAGACAGACCCTTTAAAGACAGTGGACAAAGACAGTGCTCCTACACATTGCCCATTTGAAAATAGCAGGAAAACACTAAAAGTGACTTCCATAATTTTCCACACTGTAAGACTGTGTAGAACAGGGCTATGCAAGGGGCGGCCTGCGGGTGACTTCAATCTGGCCCACTTCATTAAAAATAAATAAATTAATATATATATATATATATATATATATATATATATATATATATATATATATATATATATATATATATATATATATATATTTGTATATGTGTATATATATTTTGGTTCTGGGTTTTGGATTCTGTTTATTGCATTTATGATTCAACACAGCAAAATAAACTAATTAAAAAGGTCACAGATCATTGTAAACTTTGGTTTACTGACATAATGATTTTAATTGCTGGATGTCTGCCCCCCAAGATGTTGGCTTTCATAAACTGTGCCCCCCTGAGCAGTTTAGTTGAATAAACCTGGTGTAGAAGCTCCATAGAAAAGAACACGTGGAACAGTCATTTTCCCACCGTTTCTTGGTTTGCCAAGAAAGCTGTCCTGAGAATCTTACCTTGGACAGCAGCTTTGTGAGGTCTTCAAACAGATTGGAGCAGTAGAAATCACAGTCGTAGTTTATGTAGAGCTCGGTCACAAAGCTGGGAATCCTCCAGAGTTGGACCAGAGCCTCCAGAGCCAACTCCTTCATCTCATAGGGCAGCTTAATGTTCTCTGATGTGATGATGTCCATCAGCTTCTTCAGGTACATCTGTCATGTCAGCAAAACAGTCACTTAGTTTAGGTGTAGGGCTGCACAGTATTAGAAAAACATGCTATTATATTGTTAAATGATGCTCTGACAATAACAGTTGCAATAAACTCCCTTTTTTATTTCACCATCAACGAACCAATATGATTGCCTAAAATAATATTAGATCTGAGATTTATTTGTTATTATTTATTTATTTATTATTAACTATAATTAGGTTTAGATGGTGTTTGACTGATAAAGCCTATATCTCAGTGGGACATGGCAGATGGTGACAAACTGAGCGGCATGCGTAAGGGAGTTTCCAACAAGTTTCGTAACGTTCTCAAGGTTCTCAGTTTTCTTGCGTGAGACTCAGAGGCTCACTTTTATATCGCAGGAATTTTGAGCAGTTTAACAACTTGTAAAACAAACTTTTGAGCTGTCGTGGGCATCAGGAGCCCATCTCATTACTTTCCCCAAAGTCAGAAAGTACAAGAAATGGGACAACTTTGAAAATGTTTGATGGCTTATGAAGCTACATTGTGACTCATTAAAGGCAAAAAAGAAAAGCAAGACATTTGAGATGTGATTGAGACATTTCAGATACTTTATGACTAAGTTGAACCAAATCAGTTTGCATGTCATGAGTAGAAACGTTACACAAATGTTGCTTTTTATTAGCAGTTATGTACAAATGAGTCAAAAGTACCAATTTAGTGAGATTTGATGTAGAAATGTGAGTTTGTCCTTACAATTTTGTCTTGAACTAGTCACAAAGACTTGTTGCTCAGTAGATTTACACTTACCTCCAGCTGAAACTTTAGATGTAGTCTCATGCTTTCAAAAAGCAGGAAGCAAACCCGAATGGAGGAAGCATACAGATTCATACGCTCCATACTCAGCAGCTATGACACAGATTAGATGCATAATTACTGAAGGCACATTTAAAAAACATTTTATTTGGTCATGATTTCATTCTTGATGTCAGTTAGCGCTGAACAGGTACGCTCTATTTTACCTGAAGCAGATGTCTGCAGAGCTCATCTTTCACCAGGACTAGTAAAGACTGGTAATTAGCTATGTGTCCTGACTCAAGAGCTACAGTGAGAAGCTGCAGGCCCATGTGCATCATGGCATCAGTGTTGTGGCGGTCGTGAGGGTTGGTCAGTGAAATCAGAAAGCGGAAAACCTCCCTCAGGCACGGCAGACCGTAGGGGATAAGAGAGACTCCTTTGCGCCAAAGAGAAAAGAAAAAACAGGAGTTGACAGAAGTATTACAAAACAAACAGTACATGTGTTTATGTATCATCATTACTTTTTGAAACTTTCATATTAAACTAAAACTAACATGTTTTTGTACACAATGAGTATAGTTAACAAGTGGTACACCAATTCAAATCAAGTCGCTGAGGGATTTGAATAGAGAATGTTTGTAGTTTGCAAGATTAATGTTTTTCTGGACTGGAACAGAACAGGGAAGGAAAGTAAACCTTCATGTTTTTGGTGCAAGTATTCAAGAGAGCAGGAAGTTCACAGTGTAAAAGAAGAAAGGTAGATGTTTTTCTTTTGCGTGTCTGAGGTGGCACAGAAGGATGGATCCTGGCAAGCAGAGGGGGCAATTTTATCCATCGCCAGGAGCAATGACAGAGCCAGGGGGTGACCATTGGTGGCCTTGGCCACCATAGATTAATCTTTGGCCACCTCACTCATTTAGGAAACTATATTTTTAAGCAATATAAAAACAATATAAAAGCAATATAAATACTAGAAAGTTTCCTCAAATGGTGGGAGTGTCTGGTTTACATATACATTTATAAAGGTGGTAATCTTTGACTTCAACGTGGCAACCCAGCTGTCAATAGTAACTTTTCTTAAACCTAAATGCAGCCGCACAACAAAATGGAAGCCGGTACCTCACCTAGTTTTCAAGTTATACAGCTCAAAAGACAAATGGACATACAGGGGCCAAAATGGCCTTGCATACTCTTTATGCTACACTTTTCATCTAAGATTTTTTGAGAAGTAAAAGTTATAACCATTATGGTCAAACCCAATTTAAAAAGGCGAGATCTTACACAATCTATTTGCTTTTGAAGTATATGTTGGGAGTGACCCTTCCTCAACTGCCGCATCAAATCTTATTTTGTTGGCTAATGCCAATTATCAACAAACAAACACAAATTAATCAGTTGTAGCTGTACATCTAACGATTGTGTCCTGGAAGTTTCACCTGAATTTGTCCAGTGGCTCAAGAAATATTTTGACGAAAAACATTATTGCTTGCATTCTCCTTTTGATGACAGGTGACTTTGTTTGTTTGTGTCTAAACAGATAAATGGTAACAACAGCACAGATATATATATATTTTTTTACAAATGTTTTACAAACTTAAATGGACTTATATAGCACCTTTCTATCTAGTCAAGAGACACTCAAAGTACTTTACACAACAATGTGTGCCTCATTTACCTATTCATACAGCACTCTACTAGATCTCTACAAAGCTAATCTGAATCTGTAGAGACTAATCAGTGCTTTAGATCACATTCAAACACCGATGGGACACACATAGGAGGCAATGTGTCTTGCCCAGGGAGACTTCAACATGTGACTGTTGGTGGAATCAAATGCCCAACTCTCCCATTGGAGGATGACTGATCTAACCACTCAGCCACAGCTGCCCCACCATCTCTACCTGCACCAACCTACCATCTCTTTGTGTGGACTGAGTGAACCGAACTCCTCGAGGGTTGACGTAGTCCATGTCATGAACAGAGGTGGTGTCTGACTGCTCAGTAACAGAGTCTTTGTCCTCCAGAACTTCAGGAATCGACTCCACAGAGGCTGACGGAGCTGGTTCAGCCTGCCTGCCCTCAGACTGCATGACAAAAGGAAGCAGAGAAAGATCGTGTCACATCTTGCTTCCACAGAGAACACCAAGGAAATCCCTACCATGGGATGTACACAATGTCACCCACAAAATATAATCAGCCAACTATAATTTGTGCAAGACAGGAACAGATGATCTTTAATATTTTATAAGGATTTTAAACCACTTTTACCTGTGCATCTGAAGAGCCAGACTCAGTACCCGGGAGTGAGGTAGCAGTGCAGGGGGTGGTCACAGAGGAGCTACACTGGTCCAGGTCAGAAAGGTCTTCTCTGGAAGTGGCTTTGGAGCCTGTTTCCAGACCACTGTCTGTGGTTGAAGGACTGGAAATGGACGAGCCAGCACTGTCGGAGGTCACAAGACTAGAGTTCAACGTGGCCTGTTCAATGAACGGGACGCCACCTACCGAAACAGACATGATGGCATTCAGCATAACGTACAGGATACATTCACCCTGCGTGCAGAAAACCAAAAATAACATTTCCACAAGTCCATAAAAATGGCAGACAATGTGTAACGCTCAATGTTAGTTCATTAAAATGGGTCCAGTTGTTAAGGAGATATTTTGTTTGACAAAAGAAAAAACAAGTTTTTGCTGCCAAAAGTCAACAGCATTTCATGAGTGTATTTTTCACACATTGTTTTTGTTACCTGAGAGGTTGTTGCTGAGAGTGCTTGGCTGGTTTGGGTCAAGTTGACCCGAGGAACTTCGGACCATGTGGCGCGGCGGCCTTGGTGAGCGTTTCTGCTTCTTCCATTTGGATGATTCACTCATTCCACCGGCTCGCATCTTTAGCTGAACGCAAACAGAGGTGACGTTAGCAGAGCCTCTTGAAAGATACCTGTGGGTCTATCACTGACTAAAGGCAAAAACATTTATCTCACTTTAGACTTGCTTTTTTTTAACAGAAAAGAAAAGAAGTAGCAGTGAGGATTACAAGAATTAACCTGTGAGACTAAATGTTTTAAACCCAGCAGCATTATGGGTAAAATAGGTTTGAGAAAATGGAAAACTATTTATACTTTTGATTTAAGTAATTACAGGTGCTGGTCATAAAATTAGAGTATCATGAAAAAGTGGATTTATTTCAGTAATTCCATTCAAAAAGTGAAACTTGTATATTATATTCATTCATTACACACATACTGATATAGTTCAAATGTTTATTTCTTTTAATGTTGATGATTATAACTGACAACTAATGAAAACTCCCAATTCAGTATCTCAGAAAATTAGAACATTACTTAAAACCGATAAAAAAAGGATTTTTAGAATTCAACAAAGTCCATGCTCAATAATCCAGGTATACAATCCAACATTTTTCAGTCAGGTCATCTGGACAGTTTCTTTTTTGTGCTGAAATGTTTCGCCTTCGATCTGGAAGGCTTCATCAGTCAAGGAAACACACAACAAAACTGATTCTTCCCCAACAGCTTACTCCAAAGTGGAACAAACCAATTTTGTTTGTGATAAGATGAGATTGGGCCGGCAATGGAGAAGGGAGCGTACCAAAGAGACCATCTTATCACAAACAAAACTGGTTTGTTCCACTTTGGAGTAAGCTGTTGGGGGAAGAATCAGTTTTGTTGTGTGTTTCCTTGACTGATGAAGCTTTCCGGATCTAAGGCGAACCGTTTCAACACAAAAAAAAAAAAAAAACTGTCCAGATGACCTGACTGAAAAATGTTGGATTTTTAGAAATGTTGGCCGACTGAAAAGTATGAAAAATGAAAAGTATGAGCATGTACATCACTCAATACTTAGTTGGGGCTCATTTTGCCTGGATTACTGCAGCAAAGCGGCGTGGCATGAGTCGATCAGTCTGTGGCACTGCTCAGGTGTTATGAGCCCAGGTTGCTCTGATAGTGGCCTTCAGCTCTTCTGAATTGTTGGGTCTGGTGTATTGCATCTTCCTCTTCACAATACCCCATAGGTTTTATATGGGGTTAAGGTCAGGCCAGTTTGCTGGCCAATTAAGAACAGGGATAACATGGTCCTTAAACCAGGTACTGGTAGCTTTGGCACTGTGTGGAGGTGCCAAGTCTTGTTGGAAAACAAAATCTGCATCTCCATAAAGTTTGTCAGCAGCAAGAATCATGAAGTGCTCTAAAACTTCCTGGTAGACAGCTGTGTTGACCTTGGACATCAGAAAACACAGTGGACCAACACCAGCAGATGACATGGCACCCCAAACCATCACTGACTGTGGAAACTTGACACTGGACCTCAAGCAACGTGGATTCTGTTTCTCTCCTCTTCCTCCAGACTCTGGGACCTTGATTTCCAAAGAAAATGCAAACTTTACTTTCATCAGAGAACATAACTTTGAACCACTCAGCAGCAGTCCCAAGCGAGACGATTCTGACGCTGCCTCTTGTTCAAGACTGGCTTGACACAAGGAATGTGACAGTTGAAACCCTTGTCTTGCATACATCTGAGGGTGGTGGTTCTTGAAGCACTGACTCCAGCTGCAGTCCACTCTTTGTGAATCTCCCCCACATTTTGGAATGGGTTTTGTTTCACCATCCTCTCCAGGGAGCAGTTATCCCTTTTGATTGTACACTTTTTTCTACCACATCGTTTCCTTCCCTTCACCTCTATTAATGTGCTTGGACACAGAGCTCTGTGAACAACCAGCCTCTTTAGCAATGACCTTTTGTGTCTTGTCCTCCTTGTGCAAGGTGTCAGTGGCCGTCTGTTGGACAACTGTCATGTCAGCAGTCTTCCCCATGATTGTGTAGCCTACAGAACTAGACTGAGAGACCATTTAAAGACCTTTGCAGGTGTTTTGAGTTAATTAGCTGATTAGAGTGTGGCACCAGGTGTCTTCACTATTGAACCTTTCCACAATATTCTAATTTTCTGAGATAATGTATTTGAGGTTTTAATTAGTTGTCAGTTATAATCATCAACATTAAAAGAAATAAACATTGAAATATATCAGTCTGTATGAATGAATATAATATACAAGTTTCACTTTTTGAATGGAATTATCAAAACAAATCAACTTTTTCATGATATTCTAATTTTATGACCAGGACCTCTATATAAATTCAGATTTGACAAACAAAACAAATGCATTCCTAAAAATAACTTTTTTAGTTGATAATTTTTGCCAGGTTTCTTTTTTTTTTTCAAAACAATAACAAAACCAAACTTGTTCTCAATTTTTAAAAAAAATGCAGAATGTTGGAAGAAGTCTGATTTCTTGTATTTCCTTTTAGACAATGATGTTTCATGTAATCTTAAAAAAATTAAAAAGCTTCTTTACTGAGTTTTATCTTGCAGCACTTGAGCCAACATGTTGGAGGTAAGACATGCAAAAGCTGCCACTAAAACCAGCTGACATTTAAAAAATACAACATCTGGTGCTGTGTGTCTTCATAGAAAGGAGTTTTAAAAAAAACGAAATGTTGAAGCATCTTAGCAAAGAGAACGAGTAAAAGAACACACACAACAAACACAGGTGAAGGCTACAAAAGCTCTTCCACCTTGAGATTGTCTAAAGAACAATGGAAAAGGTTACAAAGCCTACAAACTGTACTTTGAGCCATCTTCCTTACCTGCACACGTTTGTTTTTCCACAAGATATTGTAAGCCTCAGAAGAGAAGGGGAGGAGGCAGGTGTCCGTGATTAGTGATGGAAAACTTATCAGCCAACAAACACACACAAGCATAAACATCCGTGCATGATGACAAGGGAGGGGGCATGAAATCCAAACTGGGCAGAGGGTTTAGAGGCACAGACACGGCCGCTACAAGCTACAAACACCGAAGAATCAGCAGCCAGGTAATGAGCAGGGACAGTGGCCGAAGGTCAGGAGAAAACATGCCAAAACAGCTGAAAAGTTGAAAATGTCTGGAAATACTAAAAACAGTACCAGTCAAAGGTTTGGGTATAAATAAACTATTTTTGGTACGTTTGTTTTTATTTTAACATTTTTATATCCCACAACAATGACATCCAGACTATGAAATAAAAAAAAAAATGTAGTGAACATTTAATGCTAATAAAAGGATATACCTGCAAACTCACAAGGGATGAAAAAGGTGACAAACCTAGCACCTGTAGTGTGTGTGTGTGTGAGGGGGAGGAGACACAGGACACCCCCCCCCCCCCCCGTGTCATTATGTCCTGTGTCACTCCCACCACCCAGGTCAACAAGTGTTAACGCAAGCTTTGTTTTGAGCTAGCTTTTTTTTTTTGGAGGGGGGGGGTTGTTTTTTTCTTTTTTCGCAGACTCGTTCTGTTGCGGATTTTCAAAGTAAGACTGGACATGACACACAATTGGCTGATTGATGGGTGAGTTGCACGATCAGCATGGAATTTTTATTTAAAACAAATTATTTAAAATTATTTAGCACCCGTGTGCAGCCCACACAGCCCTCCTGCACCTGATCAGCTCATTTCTGCGCAGAGCAGAGAAGTGGGCGTGGCCAAGAGTGCAGCCAGAGGTAGAGAAATGAAATCATGACATTCTGTGTTCTTTTAGAGTGTTTAGAATTTAGAAACATGGTTTAGAATATTGCAAGAGTGTGGGAAGGGTTTCAAACACACACACACACATATATATATATATATATATATATATATACATACATATATACACTAAAATAAACTACTACTTACTACTTGTACTACTATTCCTACTTCGCAGTTTTTTACTTATTGTGGGGCTTCAGGGTACAGATATCATCCCCCGCAATAAACGAGGGACTACTGTATTGCATATTCAGTTCAGCAGCTTTCTTCGACAAAACAAGCTAACAGGATTAGCAGCAGCACATGTCTTTTTACCTGAAGCCTCTGTTTATACTTTCAAACTGTTGTTGTGCTGACACTTGTGTTATTAGCCCTGCATGATTAAAGGACAAAATGTGGTACAGTTCTCAAGCTCCTGTGTTTCATCTGAGCTAATCTTGCTGTGTTTTGCTTTAGACTAGTGGTTCCCAAAGTTGTGGCTGGGATCCCACAATGGGTCCTGTAACAAAAAGTGAGGAGGAGAAATGCTACCTTTAAAACCCAAAGTGTAGCTTATAATTCCATGTGTATTATTTCATAGTTTAGATCTCTTGTCAAAATAAAAAAAACATTCACATTTGTGTTCAAACTTTTGACTGATACTATATGTAACTACAATATACCAATTGAACAATAAAAACAAGCAGATTGGTCACAAACTGAACTGTATACAGTCATATATTTAAAAAATCTGGGGAAATATTAATATTTTTATAGTTTAATGGTTTAGGACATAAAACAGCTAAGGTAATTCATTGGATTTTTGTAAAGTAAATGCAAAGTACATTACTTCAATGACAATTTTATAATTTGTGATGAAGTTACAAATGAGACTGTAACAAAATAATTGTCTGTGATTTAATACACTGATTATTTTTACAGACTAAGACATTGTGTTCTGTTTTAGCTGAAGTAGCAACAATATGAAAATGAACTAAAAAAAATTTATAGTCTAATGATGACGGTAAAATGTAGTAGTTGTGACGGAAAACATTTTAATATATTCTAAAAAAGTTAAGTCAGGTCCTCTGAACGGGTTCAAAAAACAAACAAACAAAAATCTTTTTTAGATTTTTCTACCTGGATCATTGAGCATGCATCAGGATATTTTAAGATCTTCAACATTAACAAAGTTTAAGAAAATGTAATGCATCATCATGCACTGCCACCAACAAACCATGCTAATCCTGCTTTGTGCAACTCTACAACCGTGCAGGCAAATACACTCTACTCTGTCTCCGTTAACAATAAGCAAGAGATCATTTTACTAAACCAATAGAAACATCAGTAAAAGCATGCAGTCCAATGTTGGTAATCATGGTTCACTGTTTCCAGCTTGTTAACTTGAAATCATTAAGTGACGCCCACACGCCCACAAACAGGCTGAAACTAAGAACAACACCAGCCCAATGACAATAAGAAGACAGGAAAAATATATGCAGGCAAAACACATAGGCATTCAACATCTCTGCTGCATTACCTTCTTCATGTTGGCACCCAAGTAACTCTTGGCCTCCTCCTTGAACTGGGGTAGTCTGAAAAAACAAACAATTTTAAAAGTATGAATAAAACAACAACAAAAAAAAAGCTTTTTGTAATGGAATAGATTCTCCTAAACTATCATTACCCCCTGAGAAGAGGAACACAAGTGAAGCTGGAAACAACCTTTGTTGAAGAGGCATTCATAAACTGTTGTTGCTATAACTAAACTAGTGAGTCAGTAAAGATTTTGTCCTCTAAACGAGATAACAGCACATACACACACGATGTGACAAAGGTTTAGATGAATTTGTGCATTTGATGTGAATGGGTTGGTGAGTCTGAACCATCATTGTATGACTAGAAACAAGATTGGAAACTTAAAGTTGAAGCCATAACGAATGAGTGACCCCCACAGTGGCTGACGACGACATTGGCTACGACTAATACTACGACGACTACTTCTTCTTTCAGCTTTCCCTCTTCAGTGGTCGCCACAGCGAGTCATCCTCCTTCTTCTCACTCTGTCCTCTGCATCCTCTGTCCTCACTCCAACTACCTCCATGTCCTCTCTAACTGCATCCATGTATCTCCTCTTTGTCTTTTTCCTGGCAGCTGCATTTCTAACATCCTTCTACCAATATACCCACTGTCCCTCCTCTGGACATGTCCAAACCACTGTCTCTTCTGTGGACATGTCCAAACCACTGTCCCTCCTCTGGACATGTCCAAACCATCTCAGTCTGGTCTCTAACTTCATCTCCCAGTTGTTCAACATGTACTGTACCTTTGATGATCTCATTCCTAATCTTATCCATCCTTGTCACTCCTAAGGAGAACCTCAACATCTTCATTTCAGCCACTTCCAGTTCTTTCTCTTGTCTTTTTGTCCATGTCTCTGTCTCCAGACCATACAACACAGCTGGTCTCACCACTGTCTTGTAAACTTTTCCTTTGACCTTTGTTGACACCCTTTTGTCTCAAATCCCTCCTGAAACTTTTCTCCATCCACTCCATCCTGCCTGGACTCTCCTTTTCACCTCTTTACCACATTCCCCATTTTCCTGAACAGTGGACCCCAAGTCCTTGAAGTCCTGCACCTTTGTGACCGCTGTTCCTTGTAACCTCACTGTTCTACCAGCGTCCCTCTCATTCACACACATGTACTCTGTCTTACTACGGCTGACTTTCATTCCTCTTCTTTCAAGTGCATACCTCCACCTCTCCAAGTTCTCTTCCACCTGTTCCCTGTTTTCACCACAAATCACAATATCACCTGCAAACATCATAGTCCATGGGGATTCCTGCCTGACCTCATCAGTTAGTCAGTCCATCATCAGAGCAAACAAGAAGGGGCTCAGAGCTGATCCTTGATGCAATCCCACATCCACCTTGAAGCTATCTGTCACTTCTACAGCACATCTCACCACTGTTCTACTGTCCTCATACATTTCCTGTACATATCTAACATGTCCTGCTGGACTCATACATGTCATGTACCAGTCTAACATATTTCTCTCCCACTCCAGATTTCCTCAAGCAATACCACCCCAGTGGCTGGCTGCAGAACAAATTTTAAGTCCTTTCATGAAAACAAATGGGACATTTGACTGAAAAAGAAAAGTACACGTCAGAGATTTTTTATTTCTCATTTGTTGATTTTTGTTGATTCATATAGTTCTTAACTTGTTGCTGTGTGTTTAAATAAGAATTTTATTCAATGTGTTTAGTTTCAATTAGTTGAGACTAAAATGTTGGCGAGTTGGAAGGCTGTTAATTCAGGACTTTAGAATTGCCCCATATCTGTCTTAAATAACATAACATAACAGTGCTGCCCAAAAAGCAGACAATTTGACTTTAATTTTGAACACTGAAAGATAATGGAGTCACTTTGTCCATCTTTATTTATACAGAATGTCTGAACATTTATCTGTCACGTAGATGAGTCTATACGAGTTTATGTCTCTGAAGTAAGGACATTTAGATATAGTCGACTCACTCCATGTCAAACATTACCACAATTTTATAATTTTCTTAAAATCTGACATAGTGTAAGATAAATCAATTTAGTCAAAGATTTATTTTAAATGCATCAACTTATTTTAAAGAATATTTTGAGAATTGCAAAAAAAAAAATTATCATGGGCACTAAAGGGCGGCTGTGGCTGAGTGGTTAGAGCAGTCGTACTCCAGTGCAAGAGTTGGGGGTTCGAATCCACCAGTAGTCGCATGCGGAAGTTCCTGGGCAAGACACTGAACCCCTCATTGCCTCAGATGTGTGTCCCATCAGTGTATGAATGTGATCTCAAAGCACTGATTAGTCACTTTAGAATGATTTGTTTAATTAGCTTTGTAGAGATCTAGTAAAGTGCTGTATGCTTTATTTGTAAATGTATTTATTATAATTTATTGTATTTTATTTATTGTATTTAATATAATTTATTTGGTAAATGAGGGCACAGATTGTAGTGTAAAGCGCTTTGAGTATCTAGCTAAGATAGAAAGGCGCTATGTAAATACAGACCATTTACCATTTAAATCATGCCTTCATATTCTGTATCTCCTCCTACATGTCATGTCGTCAGTGCAGCTAAGCCATCATTACCTGCAGTGTCCCCTCAGTTCAGACTGAATTCGGCAAAAGGGCCTTCTCCTACTCCGCTCCTGTAACTCCTTGTAACAAGAGCTGAAGCTCTCGACTTTGACCTCTCTAAGGGATGTTAAGCCCAGTGCAAAAATCAATGCAGACATGTTCCTGTTTTTCTTACCCTGCTTCATAATGTAGCTTTATATTTTGTTTTATATCACTACTTTTATTTACTTTTCGTTTTATATGCTTTTTATGACTGTTGTGTACCTCATCTGTGTTCTTTGTTTAAATCAGGTCTCTCTTGTAAACGAGTCCTCGTGACTCAGTGACACTATGAATGTATGAATAAGGGTTAATGAAAAAAACAGTGGCACAGATATTTTAAAGTAAAATTTTGTGCAAACATTAAGAACAATATCTTACTGTTCTACATAGTTTTGAATTCTCTATATCCACAATCTTTACTCTTCTTATATGATGTATACATCAAAAAGCAAGATTTTTTCTTCTTACACCCAGTGTCTCTCTCACTGTTCAAAATTAATGTAGGTTCAAAGTCTTATATTTCTGTTTGCATCTAAGCTAATGTTTTTATTTTTAAAATTAAAATACAAAAAAAAAAAAAAACGATGTAAAAGTTTTGTGTGGTGACAAAAAGTTTCTCACTTCCAATATCAGGAGTTTCATCAGAACGACTATACAATGAGTCTTAAAATCTGCTCTGCGTTTCCATCTTTCCGTCTTATTAGCAGTGCTGACAGGAAATGGACACTGTGGTAATATTAATGAGCAGCAGCTTTACTCGTTCTTTTGATCTCGATTATGTTTACATGCCTTAAACAGTTTATACATTATTATTATTATATATTATTGGTATTTTGCCAGCTTAATATAATACAACAGTAAGCCCTAAATTAATATTGGGCTTTAGAGAAAAATGTTGGTGAATGCTGGAAATTTGAGCATCAACTGCAGTGGCATCCTTCAGAAATGTTCAAATTTACATAGAAATCTTTAAGGTTTCTATTTGACGTTAAAGCAGATGAATGTTAAACCAATGAATGTAGAATTATTTAGAAGACAGAATGAAGCTGAGAAACAACATTTTCAACCTAAACCACTAAGAAGTGTCCCAGTGATGGCCCATCACACAAAGTGTGAGCATGTGTCCCACTTCATATCTGTGGACTCTAAAGCTTAGCTGGAAAATGAGATGTCACCACCAGGCAGTCTCGCTCACACGCACACACACACACACGTACACACACGTACACAAATAACAAAAAGGAGCCTGCAACTCCCCCTCCTGACATTAACTCCGTGTTAATGGAGCGTTGTCATGCGAGCACGATTATTGGATGATCTGTGGGTCCAACAGATTAACATGCCTAATACATTCAGCAGGCAATCTAAGACTCCTCCAGAAGAGCTGAACAGATCTGTGCTCATTATTAGTTTTTATTGTGGGGAGGGTGGGGTGGGGGTTTGCACACTCACATCTCTATTATCTAGCATCTGTGGACAAGTGGGGGTTGAAAGTGAGAGAGATGAGATGTGGATCTTGTGTGTGTGAGCAGCGTCAGAGTCCCGGAGTAAACAGTCCACACTGCGTTCATATCTCATATTCATGTGCAGGAGATGCCTCTGTTTACGAGGCGTGGCTGCCATCTTTTATACTCCCACTGTAAAACCACTTAAGAGGACATGATAACAAGGTGCTAGAAGAGATCTGCCAGTAAATCAGAACAGGCCAAGAATGCTTGGAGGAGTGTCAGTGAATAGTGGCAAGCTTGGCAAAAACTAACAGTGGAGTTCAGAGGATGGAGTTGGACACAGCACTTTGTGTGTCAGATACATCTTGTTAGATATAAACACCCCGGAAAAAGAAACGAGTGCCTTTTTATTGCTCAGTTGAGCTCTGTGAAAATCTAATGAAAAACAAGATGTTTTTTGGTGATTGATCGTCCTGTGTGTGTGTGCTTGTGTGGGGGTTGGAGCTTTACTGTCTTAGCAGAGAACACCTTCATCTATATGCAGATCATACTGTGAGCAGCTCAATTGGCTCATCCTCTTCATCTGTGACTGAATGTGACTGGCACACTGATGCACGAAGGGTGACTGTTTTGTGCAGATGGATGTGTGTGGGTACGCACAAGTGTGTGGATGTGCATGAAGGGAGGGGTGTATGCTAAATGCCAGAGGAGAGAGTGTGTTATGGCATTAGTAAATCAGTGGCCTACTGACCCTACATATAGGGCTAAATAAAATTAATGGTCTTCAAGTAGAAAAATGAGGCCAGAGAAGACAAACATGCAGAAATCTTCTAATTTATCATTAAAGGCATTTTAAACTACACTTTACTTGATTTGTTTCACTTTCTCTAGAACAATAAAAGGGTGACACAGTAGCTCAGTTGGTAGAGCTGTTGCCTTTCAGCGAGAAAGTTGCTGGTTCAAATCCCAGCCCAGGATCTTTCTGGGTAGAGTTTGCATGTTCTCTCCGTGCATGCGTGGATTTTGTCTGGGTACTCCGGTTTCCTCCCACAGACCAAAAACATGCATGTTAGACTGACTGGTGACTCCAAGTTGCCTCTAGGTGAGAGAGAGAGAGAGTGAATGGTTGTTTGTCTCTATGTGTCCCTGTGATGGACTGGAGACCTGTCCAGGGTGCACCCCACCTCTTGTACAGTGACAGCTGTATGAATGGGCACAAGTGACCCCCACGATCAGAAACGGGTAAAGATAATGGATGGATGGATGGATGGATGGATGGATGGATGGATGGATGGATGGATGGATGGATGGATGGATGGTACAATAAAAGAGCAACACACTATAACAAAATAATTCCTAAAAAAACAAACATAAAATAACTAAATATTAAAAGGCTTATCGAAGAAATAACTTCTTGAAGAAATGTTCTGACACGGCCATTTATTAGTTTGAGACTAAAATCATCTTGTGTTGAGAACTGACAGAGTTCAAGGTGTTTTGGTCAAATTTTATGGATGACATGTGCAGTTCCATGAAAGATTCAATGCCAGCTGTCTCAAAATGTTTGAGCGCCCGGAGTACATTCTGTGAACGAATGACTTTCAGCTGCAACCACTCACTTTGAGCTCAGTGTGATGAACTGACCGAGTTGTAGCCATTTCTTTGTGTGCTAAAAGACACTGTCATGGCCACCTTGAACGGTGGTGACTTCAAAAACTAATCAGCTGTATATGTACAACTAGTTGTTTCTTTCTGATACTTTATTTAAAACCCATATAGTGGTTCATGAGATATTTTGCTAACAGACAAACTAGGTATAATTCAACAGGTAATGCTAAAGTTTTGCACTGAGCAGCACTTGGAGAATGTAACGTGAACTTAGCTACAACCACCAAATCTTAGCAGAACATCAGTAAAATCGACTGAACTGTAACTGCTGTTTGTGTTAGCTGAGGTGGCCATATTGAATAAAGGTGGCTCCCAAACCTAAATCAGGTGTAGATATACATATGTATTGATATTTCTTTACAATTTCACAAAAATACACCCCCTCGTTTGTGAGAAATTTTGCTAACAGTCAGAGTTGACTGCAAATAGTTGATGTCTAAACGAGGACCTTGAAGAATCTGTTAATGCTCAGAGTGTGTGTTGTGGATGACTCTCAGCTACTACCACACCAAAGGTTACAGCCATATCGGTAAAAGTCACTGAGATACAGCCGCTGTTGTATTAGTTCAGGTTAGTTGGTCGTGGTTGACTCCAAAAGCTGTTCAGTTGTGAATGTGCATCTAATATCTATTTGACATAAGTTATAATATTCATCCAGTGGTTCATGAGACGTTGTGCTAACAGACAGACGCAGGACAAACATTATTGTCACCTTTAGGCAGCAGGTGATCAAAGACAACTGTGTTCTTTCTACCCTCCCCTTCCTTTACCTGGAGAATAGCAGCTGCACCATGTCAACGAGTGTGTGCTCCGCAGACTTTCTAAGGAGTTCTGTGAACACAGGAATAACTCTGATGAGAACCAAACATCAGAAAGTGGAGAAAAGTCTCAGATAAAATGTGCTTCCCAGAAAATAAACACTCTTGTGAACGCTACAGAGATTAAATCTTAGTGAACACATTAGATAGGGACTAAATATTATAATACTAGCATGTTTTACGTTAATAAAAAAAACTAATGTAAGCCTGCAGATTGTAAGACCCCTTTAATATGAACCTTACAATTATGATGAGGGAACACAGAGGGTCTATGCTGGGTCATGTACGTGGTTTCAAATTTGCAGTAAAAACACAGTCAGGATAATGTTTGTAGCAAGTACAAAACCTCTAGTTCAAGTTCAAGTTTAATGTCATTCACATCATATGTGGTACATGAGGTGGAACAAAATTATGCACTCAGGGTTCCAGTTACACCCAAAACTAGCAAAAATGTAAAGTATAAAAAGAAACAGTAAATAACGATCAAGATATACACTAATGTAAAATAATTTGGTGTATCAACAGCAGCAGAACAAGAGTCTGTGGTGAGCAGATAGGTATGAATGAATACAACAGCATGAGATAATAAGCAGCAAGAAATCAGCAGCATGGATAATCAGCAGCACAGATAAAGTCACATATCACCAATTAAAGTGGCATTACAGTGATTTGATTCATGAGTCTAACAGCTTCAGGGTAGAAGCTGTTCCTCGGTCTAGTGCAGGGCTATTCAACTGAACTGCTCGGGGGGGGGGGGGGGG